ATATGGTTATTTATAGTAAGACAAAGAGTGTAAAGAAGTGAGTAATGCTTAATTACACACACTTACATTACTTGCTTACTTAATTACCTGACATGTATTGGCTGTAGACTCTCTTATCGACTGTTACCGGATGCGGCAAAGCTGACAGGCCGGGTAGATCTGTCAGCCTGACCACACCACCCACCGTGCTGTGGTCTGTGGAGAAGTGAGTCCCAAGTGAGAGCCAAGGTAAAGTCCAACCCAAGGTAAAGGAATGGGGCTTTGATGGTGTCACATCATACCACCACATGTTTCCTTTGACGAAGGTGGAAGTCTACCACCGAAACATGTGGTAATTAAGCAGTAAGCATCTTTACACTTTACACTTATTAGTCTTATTAGAATAACCGTATAATCCTTACACATAAAGAAGTCATAATTAACTATTATTAAGGACAATCCCACTGTTTCCCATTCAAACTCCATTAATGTTCAGTACAGTCTTAACAGTCTTAACATGATGACATGATGGAATGAGCAGTGTGGTAGTGCTACTCCTTGGTTGGAATCGAAACCTGCAGCAACATAGAACTTTCTTGATCGAGTTTGACATCCCTGAGTTATACACACGCTATATTTTCATAAATATACACACACTCCTCTTAAATTATCTTTGTTAGAGTACTTCTCTGCTCTTTCATAATAATTCATTCGATGGATCTTGAAGACACTTGTTCTCCGGTCACAATTGAGACAAAATTTCTCGTATGACGAGGAGACGAAGAGAAACAGATGTGCCCCACTGCTCATAGAATATATATACGCACACACAGGCTGTACACATGAGCAGAAAGAGCATAGAGCAGCAGCGCCTCTCAATCACCGCCAGCGGGCCTAATCCATCTACTGCTGCTTGACTAGGATCCAATCTCCATCCCCAACAGGGCCTGAATGAAAGAATGGCAGACAGCCTGTGAAGAAACCCACTCCCTCTAGCCCAAAAATTGATGATACAATCGTAGTCTTTCTACCTGGTTCATGAGGCGTCCCATATCAAGGAGGAGAACACACCATAAAAATCACCCCGCCTCCGCTAAAAACAGCCAAGCGCTAACTTCATTCGATATGTTTGCCATGCCGCCTTGTTGTCAAAAAGCATGTTTTGTTAAAGGAGGTATTTGGCCCGTTCAAGCATAGGAAAGCCATTAGGAAGTGTCAGGAGCTGCGGTCTTATTTGTCCCCAGCGGATCACACTCATTTTCTTGTGTTTAATGCACCAAAACAGTTCCATCCACAACCACCAACAGCAGCAGGAGCATGGGGACAGCATGGAATTAAATAATTAAATAAATAAATAAACTAAGGCATTTCCAATCACTATGCATTGACAAGAGTCTTAAACAGTGGTTTATTTTAAAGTTAATGAGGTCTAATATTATATTTTACTCTATGTAACATATATGTTTATATCAAAATCAATAAAAAATATTTCTTCACTGTATAATATAACCAAATGACTTCCATCATCCTTTTTAGGGCAAAGCCTTACTGCATATGTCACTGCTTTTCACTTTTGATAGCAAATGAACCTCTCCTCCAGACACTAAATCAATGCAGCATTCGTCTTGTTAAATTGCACAGTCATAGTTTAAAATCACTGCTGCCAAGGCTTGTTTTTCGCTTGTTTGTATGACTCCTCAGAAGTCCTCTTGAAGGTGGTCGATGGGAATAGAAAAGTATTTTCAATTAAGGAGTAGATCAGGGATTTCAGTGGGCTGGGCAACAAACCAAGTTAATTATTTTTGACCAGATTAAAAATACTACGCCTTGTTCTCCATTCTGTTTTACAGGGAAAGCCGCTGCCTTAAGGAGAAAAAGGGAGGGGGAAAAAAAAAAAATCACAGGGAAACCCCTTAGAGCTCCTTTTAACGAAGTATGAATAATTCAAAGTGTATTATTTCTAACAGCTTCATAATATTAATTGGGCTGAGTTGCGCATTTAGTATTTATGAGTAAGCCCTGTATCCAGCTGTGTTGAACGTAATCAGCTTGAGAATCACAGGGAAAGCGGCTGGGGAATGTGCGTTAATGGGATGCGATGTGAGGCGTGAGAGCGCCTTGGGGTGTGCGACGGCAGGACAGGAGAGCATCCAAACGCACTCATCACCGGAACTACAGCTTATAACACAGTGACGCACAAGGGTCAATGGCAACAGGATTTTGCACTTACTGACAGTGAAGCTGTCAGGAGTTATTTGTTGGAGAACTATGCTAGTTTTTGGGTCTAAACTTTTTTCCATTTTGGTGATTTGCCCGGGACGCTCGCAGAAGCTGGCATAAGGTTCAGCAATCATTAAGTACCTATTATTGTTTTCCCCTACAGTATTCTTGCTGTATAAAAGCCTGCTGGTGTGGTAATGAACGTGTGAGAGCAAATGCAGGGCAACGTAGAAATGAGCCCATGTTTAAGCTAATGAATATTGTGAGGCAAGGCAAGTTTACTAGTGTATCTCTGTACACAAAAGTGCATCACACATAATAAAGCATGCATAAACAGAAACAAACATGCATACATACAACGCTAGAGCTTGGTGATTAATTCAAAATAAAAAAAAGCTGAAAAGTGTTGCTTGTGAAAGTGTTCATCAAACTTTGCGGAACCCCCATTCGATGGAATTACAGTAGCAAGTCCTTTTGGGGTAGCCATGTTTTCTCATCTCAATACTACATGGCTTTGCCAATACAGTTTTTAAATATTTTCAAGGCATGGTACTTTTACATCACTATTTATGCTATCCAACGCTTCACATGTCTTTAGTAAACTAAAGCTGTAGCCTCCACTACCCACTGATATAATTTAAAGTATGGAAGTGACAGTGCACCTGCAGCTCTGTTACGTTGCGCAGTGAATAGTTTGAGTTGTGGCTGTTTGTCCTTCCAGATGAATTTAGTGATTGCACTGTGGAGTTTATCCAAATAGTGTGTCAAAGGTGGAACTAGGATTATAAAACTACAAAAACATATGCAGGGCAGCAAATCCATTTGAGATCACTAAAAATTGTATGATCTGTATGATGTATCAGAATATTAACCTAAGAGTATCCAGCAATACCCATCGCTGATGATAAAAGCACTGATCTTGATTTAACAGATGATATACCTGTCCAAACCAGCCACATGCCATAAGACTCTACACTAGTGCATAGCTGTAGTCAGTAGTGAACATCCAAATAACAACCTAAACAAAACAAACGTTACGGCGTTTGGTTGTGGTAAATGTTTTTAACCTAAAATTACCACTTGTAATTTTCTTCTCACTTACAGAAAGTATCTCTTTTGGCTATGCCTCCATAAACGCAAGCAGAGCATCATAATTTAAACCAGAACCATCACAAAGACTCCTCATGCATTGTTCATATTCTATTATTTATAAATATTGAAATATTCATCAAGGTGTGCTTTCAAGCAGCAAAAAGTTATTTAAAAAATAATTTAAAAAGCCAGAGCAGCTAGAGGTGTGTTATCTAAATTCCAGTTTCAAAATAGGTTTTTGTCATTCAGATTTATTTGAAAAATAAGAAACTCAATATTAAGTCCACACTCAGACATCACAGGTACTTTAATCTTATACAGTCATTCATTGCAGTGTTTTCTTCACACCTTGAAGACATTTTTGTTTTTTAGGCAGAGAAAAAAAGTCATTTCAACTATGAAAACCAATTAATAGAAAGTAACCAATAGAAGGTAAACCCTATTCATTAACCCATCAACCCTAACCCTTTTCTAAAGTCAAGTTTTTGTCAAAACGTAGGATGGTATCGTGTTTTTATTTAGGCAATTTACTGTTGAATAAAGTGTTCCTAATTAACTCAGTCTGAATATATACGGTAAAGGCTCATGATAGCATGTTCATCAATGAGCCTGTTTAGAAATCAGCTGTTTTTTTCATTGGACATCTTTAATAGAATTAGCTGGCTGAAAAAGGCTTATGGGAATTTTGTATAACTACCTTTTTTGTCTAATAATGAGGAGGTATATAGTTTTGTCCTAACCTTGCTGGCTAACTCCACAGCATTATCCAATATATATGTGTTGTGTAAGCAATTTTCTGATTCGACATGGCAGTTTACATAGACCCAAGCGTACACTCATCTCCACATTCATAGTAAGTTGCTGCATGTACAGTTAACACTAAAAACAACAGAGACATGTGTATAAATATCTTAGTTCTGATCAAATGGCACTTGTCCAATAAATGCAGCCTGCTGGGAATGTGCTGGAGGCTCTCATTTGTCTCATGAAGACACGTAAGTAGCACAGACTCAGCTTTATTTAGCACTGTCCTCCAGTATTTCTGCCTTGCATTTCTTTTTCTCTTTACAGTTACAAGTTAAAATTGAGGTAAAAATTAATCAACATGAATATGCCCTATGCTAAATTAAGCACATCAATATGTGGTGCCCCCATATTAGGTATACATTTATATTATATTTTCTAAAGAACAAATTATTTGTTTGGTTATTATGGTTGTTAAACAGGATCTTGAGTACCTATGACTTTTGAACGTTCATATAATGCAGGGGTCCCCAATTAAATTGGCACGAGGTCCACCTACTTGATTAGTTCAATAGATCAGGGTCCGGACATCAGACAAATATTTTATTTCATATAAATCCATTCAAGCTTCAACCTTAAACAACGACTATAGTAGTAAGAACTATTTGAAAAAAAAAAAATGAATACAATCTAAATATAGATGTGTATAATTAACACATAACAGCAATGTACTTTGTTTATTTCTACACAACACACCACAAACCTCTCCCAAACTCTCAGAGTAGAGGGTGCAACACATGATGATTGTGGAGGATCAGGGGATCCACACTCTGACCTCCTCCTCCTCCTCACACTCTGACCTCCTCCACACACACTCTGACCTCCTCCTCCTCACACTCTGACCTCCTCCTCCTCCTCACACTCTGACCCCCTCGTCCTCCTCACACTCTCCCACCTCCTCCTCCTCACACTCTGACCTCCTCCACACACACTCTGACCTCCTCCTCCTCACACTCTGACCTCCTCCTCCTCCTCACACTCTGACCTCCTCCACACACACTCTGACCTCCTCCTCCTCCACACTCTGACCTCCTCCTCCTCCTCACACTCTGACCTCCTCCTCCTCCTCACACTCTGACCTCCTCCTCCTCCTCCTCACACTCTGACCTCCTCCTCCTCCTCACACTCTGACCTCCTCCACACACACTCTGACCTCCTCCTCCTCCACACACTCTGACCTCCTCCTCACACTCTGACTCTCCTCCTCCTCCACACACTCTGATCTCCTCCTCCTCCTCACACTCTGAACTCCTCCTCCTCCACACACTCTGACCTCCTCCTCCACACACTCTGACCTCCTCCTCCTCCTCACACTCTGACCTCCTCCTCCTCCACACACTCTGACCTCCTCCTCCACACACTCTGACCTCCTCCTCCTCCTCACACTCTGACCTCCTCCTCCTCCACACACTCTGACCTCCTCCTCCTCCTCACACTCTGACCTCCTCCTCCTCACACTCTGACCTCCTCCTCCTCCACACACTCTGACCTCCTCCTCCTCCACACACTCTCACCTCCTCCTCCTCCTCACACTCTCACCTCCTCCTCCTCACACTCTGACCTCCTCCTCCTCACACTCTGACCTCCTCCTCCTCCTCTTCACACACTCTGACCTCTTACTCCTCCTCACACTCTGACCTCTTCCTCCTCCTCTACACACACTCTGACCTCCTCCTCCTCACACTCTGACATCCTCCTCTACACACACTCTGACCTCCTCCTCACACTCTGACCTCCTCCTCTACACACACTCTGACCTCCTCCTCACACTCTGACCTCCTCCTCTACACACACTCTGACCTCCTCCTCACACTCTGACCTCCTCCTCACACTCTGACCTCCTCCTCTACACGCACTCTGACCTTCCCCTCACATTCTGACCTTCCCCTCACACTCTGACCTCCCTCCTCCTCCTCTACACACACTCTGACCTCCTCCTCACACTCTGACCTCCGCCTCTACACACACTCTGACCTTCTCCTCACACTCTGACCTCCTCCTCTACACACACTCTGACCTTCTCCTCACACTGACCTCCTCCTCCTCTACACACACTCTGACCTCCTCCTCCTCTACACACACTCTGACCTCCTCCTCCTCCTCACACTCTGACCTCCTCCTCCTCTACACACACTCTGACCTCCTCCTCCTCTACACACTCTGACCACAACAAGGCTTTTTATGCCAGAAATCCACTGCACTCAGTGAGCACTAAAGTAGGGCATACGCTGTTTGTTAATGCTTTTAATATGTGTTTGATGTGTACCTCTGTGTCGCTCCTCCTCGCTGCTCCTCCTCACACACCTCTGTCTCGCTCCTCCTCCTCCTTTGCTCATACACAGTCAGTGTGAGCAGCAGAACGCGAGCGTCCATCGCTCCGTACACAGCGCCCATGGCTCATTCCCGTCTCTTTCACGTCTCTGACTCTCACTCGGAGACACTGCTAAAGTTATTTTCACAGCTCCGTAAAGTTTTCTCAAAGGACCCCACATAGCCGCCCTCGCGCCTGCCTGTTTACAAATTGCTTTTGGTGAAAATTTGACACATAATTGTAATAATATACTTTTGTACAAAAAAAACATGGTGGTCCAGATAAAAGGGTCTCGGGGTCCGGACCTGGACCGCGGTCCGCCATTTGGTGACCCCGGATATAATGCATGCATTTCGACAATAGAAAACTTTGATTATGTAAAAGTTGGAATGTAAACAAAAGTCTAGAGAGGGACTAATCAAACCAGATCAAACTCTTGCAGGGTCCTCTCAACTGGGAGACAGGGGCCACAGCATCAGTAGGGGCATCCTCCCGCTGTGTGTCAGCAGCACTCTGCTCTATGTGATGCAACGGCCAAGATATGTTTGAAGAGGCCTTGTCAGGATGCAATCAGGTTTTGGGCACAAAAAAAAGACAGCCTTTATGGGGCTCAGGCCTTAGTTTTTTGGGCCTGATTACAGCTCTATTTGAGAGCACAAAGCTCTGCATAAAACACATTATTATTATCAAAAGAATCATTGAGGCTAATCTTAAAGCATCACTATTCTCCTGCGTCAGCACATTGTGGTGACACCGCAGTAGCCTCTTGAAGATGTGGGATGAGTGGCAGTTTTTACAAATATGCTGAGCTGGGACCGCAGGGAGGGGATCGCTCCGGGACAGACTCCTGTAGAGCAGTGCCATCATGCTCTTTAAGATCCCCATGTGAAGCCCCCGGCATCACGGCCCGTACATTTAATGATCTAGATAACCTTGTGAAGTATCACACACTAAAGGACACCATTCATTTGACTCACATCAAGCCCTTATTTGGATATGGATGAACTGGGAGCATGAAAAGGCTATAACATTCTTCTTGTGGATTTTAAATGTTAACTCATACTGGAATGTAGGGCTGCAGCTATTGAACATAGTTTGTAATACTAGTTATCAATTACTCAATAAATACAAAAGTAATATTCTCCTAAGTCTATTACTTTTCACAAAACATAATTTAATGCATATAAAATATATGTTTTAGAAAAAGGACTGATTCATCTTATCTTCATAGCTAACTATTAATTGATTACTTAGTTACTATTCACTATAAGCGTCACACAATTTTCTAGTGCTGTCCAAATGACCAACTGGGGGAAATTCACTGAATTCAATGTTTCAGTTTTCATATGCAATGTGGGCACGACCTGGAATATTGTTTCGGCCCAACTGGAAATATCAAAATTCTTGGTTATGTAATGAATGCAGAACAAAAGGATGAACAAAAATACAAGATTTAAAAAGCAAAAGTAAAAAATTATAAATTCCAAGACCAAACACTAAGAAACAGGGACGAAAACACAATGGACCGTCACGAGCCGTGGAGCACAGGATGTAGAGAGGCACAGGTGAAACATATAGGGATGTACTGATCCGATATTCAGTATCGGTATCGGGTAGGGCTGAAACAACTAATCGATTAATCGACGACTAATCGATTATTGAAATAGTCGTCAACTATTTTAGTAATCGATTAATCGTTTTCTGGTTCACACGGACTCAAACAGAGCAAAAATGACATGAAAATGTAGTATTTTTGATTAAAACCGACTTTGTTTTTATAATTTCATGAATATCTGTCTGTCTCATCCAATCAGAGAAGAATTAGCACAAAGAGCCTGTTACAAACATTTACTTTAAGTTCACGCCATCAATACGTCCTCGAGTGTTGCCACTTTAGCTTTTTGTGATGAAAAAATATTTTTTTTCTACACAATTCACAGCCAAGCGATTACTCGATTAATTGTAAAAATAATGGATAGATTAATCGATTACAAAATAATCGTTAGTTGCAGCTCTAGTATCGGGGGCCGATATGGGTATTTTGTAAGGATCGGATAATATCGGATTTGTTAAATAAATAAAAACAACAACTGCACAATGCGTAGCATACATGGATCTAAAGATTGTTTTTCAGTGCCGTGTCAATTATTATGCACGTCCGTGCGAGGCACAGAATGTGCGGTGTGGCAGAGGCAGTGGACACAGAGACCCGGTGCATGCGGCAAAAGCAAAAGCAAGTGATGAACTTTTTCCTCCGTGCGGCTATCAGAGAGCAGCCGCACAGAGCCGTCATGGGGACACAAAACAGGAGATAAACCAGGATTAAACCAGGATTTCATCAGGACTAACTATGGGGGAGACTGCTTGTGAAAATATTCCTCGAACCTCATTCCCGGTGACTGTAAACAAGGGCTGCTAACGTGTGTTAGCCGACACGACAAACGTATTTATTCAGGTAAAAATGCAAAATCTTTAATGCTTTGAAAATATTAGAAAATTTTTTATCGGATTGGTATCGGCAAAACAATATTTAAGAATAGCGGATTTGGATCAGATTACAAAAATCTGGATCGGTACATCCCTAGAAACATATAATAAATAATAAATAAAAACAGGTAAAAGTAATCAACAACATGACTGGTTAACATGAGATATTTCCCCAAGATAGGGAACTATGTTAGGGGTTTTACATTTCAAAATTAATCTACTGTGTTCAAAAAACCTTTTCAAAGAGCTACCTATAAATAGCTCTACATCATTATTGTCTTTATAACTTACTGTAACATCTCAATACATCAAACAAGCGCCTTGAAACGCTTCCATGAAAAGTCATCATCTTGTATGTCAAACAAACACCCTTTACAGGGACTAAACATCAACCAGGATCATCCAGGCATAATTATGAAAAAAACCAGCTGCCTCAAAGGCCACTTTTGAATGGATGTGAAACACAACGACAGCAGTGCTGGACACAAAAGCTACAGCATTCAGCAGTGCAGAAGAGGGAGCACCAGTGAATTCATCAATTCATCGCCTGCGGTAGTAAGCGCCAACACCGACATTGATATAAACACAAAGAACTCTCACAAACATGTTAAGTGCCATTCTCATATGGCAAAATTCAATGAAAATAACAGCACCCTATGAAGGGTAGAAGATATACTGTATATGCATCACTGCAGGCCAGGAGCATGAATAATCACATCAGGCTAACTGCTGCTAAGTAATAAAATCAGTGGTTTGGGTTTTGAGTTTGTGATAGTAAACACTAAAATACATTTTAGTGAATGGCTGTAAAAAAAACTTTAAATTTCCTCTAATTTAAAGGATAATAAAATAAGTAAATGGCAAGAATAAGTACCAAGACTCATGGCCATCATTCAAAACCATGAAAGTAAGGTATTGATAGAAACAATCCAAGACATCAAAATACATATACAGTATGTAAATCACCTGGTGCTTTGATAAGCATAAGTCTTATCAAAGTTGCTAAATAAAAGCTAAATAAAATGATTGTCCATCTGGTGTCCTCAGCATCGTCTAAGAAGGTAAAATATAAAAGTGTTATAAAGGTTCACATTATAATAATACTGTAATATGCAAAGCCTCACTTTAGTTTTAGCGTCTGGCTAATTTTCTAGTGAGACATGATGACATCATCAAACACTAACCACAAAAAATCAAGTGGAAATTTTGAAGTGTGCAAAATAAATTCATTAGACGATTGCAAATGTTTTATTATTAAGACAAGCCTTCAATATAGTAGTCTATGTTTTGTAACATTTTATATTGAAGAAAGTTCAGAGAGGCTTCCATTGCTTCTTGTCAAATCGATCCAGCTTTCGCTCCAATTTTATAGGAAAAGTCATCTGGATTCTCACCAGGAAGTACAGACAGTCCTTGACCATGATCTGCAGCTTAAAATGTAAATGAGCCTGTGAATAATGGGGCAAGTCAGCAGTGAATATGCAAAGCTGCACAAATTATTTTTTGCTTGTGCAGTGAATCACTTCTGTGTGTGGAGATTTTTGGAGGACCCTGAACAAAACCAAAATGTTGGATCATTTTTCAGGTTAGTTTCCACTTCCAAGGTGGTCTAGTCATACAAGTGGAGGGAAAAACATTGCTAGAATTCAAAAGCAAAAAATCCCAATGCCATACCAATAAAGAATCCAGTCTTCAACCATGACAATATACTATGAATGAATTCAACACTTTTCAAGCCAAAGCATCTACGTCATGCAATCAACAACATTTGGTATGGTCAATAAAATCCTATTAATGTCAATGTTTGTATACATTTAAAACGAGACAAAACATGTATCTTTGACTGAAAATGCAATCAAACCACAAATATTAGTTTTCACTTTGCACTTCACTG